AAAAGACAAAGTATGTCTTCCATATATGGGTAAATTACAAAGAATGTAAAGTTTAAAATGTTAGAATTTAGAAATGAAATTCCAAACAGGCATAAAATCTATTGCATTACCATAGGAGAATAAAAGGTTAATTTAACAGACATTGCAAAAGTCCTTAAAAATGCAATTTTGCCAAATCTATTTCAAAAAGAACCACTGTCAGAGAAAAAGCATACTGAATGGATGTGTTCTTTTTTATTTTTTTTATTTAAGCTGAGCCATCCTGCCACCAGTGGGCAGCTCAGCTGGGGCCAAGCATCGAACCGCTGTTGCTCAGAGCTCAGTCTCTTGAGCGAGCTCTTAACCAACTGAGCCACTCAGCCGGCCCTGAATGGATGTGTTCTTTTAGACACAAACCTTTGATTTGGTGGCAACTCAAAGCCCCAAACATATTTGTTATAAATGAGTCCATTATTATAGACACACAATGAAAGTTTAACACATGAAAAACAAAACAAAGCTTAAAATGAGAGTAAGTATAATGAAGAAAAGTAAGTTAAATACTAAGAAAAGTACTGTAAGGCAGGGGGACTAGAGGAAAAGCCCTGGCCTCTCCAAATGGAACATTCATGGTGAATAGGAATGCCAACCCCAAACAAGACTATTAGGATTCCAAAAAAATTGCTGAGAAGTTTCCACGTTTTAAGGGGATGGAGAGTTTACCCAGTATTAGAAGTCTGTTCCAAAATAAAAGGTTTAAAAATTATAATTTAGAACGAAATCATACAAATGAAAACCTTAATAAGTTTTTGTAATCAGTACTGAGAATAATTCTCAACGATTTCTAAAGTTCTTATTATGTTCTAGATAGTGTTAAGCCCTCTATTTGTATTATTTCATTACATCCTCACAACAATCCTATAAAGTCATTGAACAGAAGAGAGTTGGATGTTAAATAGCTTGCTCAAGTAGTGACACTGATTTTGAACTACACCACCTGTCTCCAAAAGTTCTTTTTGAAATCAGTGCACTATTAATCACTTT